TTCAATAGATAGGACACGTGAAGGAACTGTAGAAATGCTTGAGAACGCATTTCTATATATCTACTTGGTAATCACGATGCATCAGTGCGGGAGTTTCTTCAAGGGACTGCAAGCAGTTCTGGTGTTGGATTCTGAGGTATCCTTTGCTCAGTGGGTGAACCTCGGTGGCGAGCAAAAAACATCCGAGGAGCAACCTGCGACAAGACGAAGCGCATTCAGGGAATCCCATGCAATCTGGTGATGGCGCAAGGAACGTGTTCGGTTTGGAGGTCTATGTTTCCATATGGAAACTATATCGGATACTATATCCATATGAGTCCGCCGTACCCATATGATGTTGAAGACGCAGACACACGACACACTTATGATTTTTGTGTACTGAACTGAAAGCGGTGCCACACGCCGGCCTAAGTAAAAAAACCTAAGGAGCCAGGGCAAGTAAAGTTAAATTAGAGGCCATCGCTAGAAGTTGGAGGCCATCGCCCAAGTTTGGAGGCTATCGCTAGTAGGTTAGAGGCACAAACTGAAAGCGACACAAAGCAACAGGTTAGAGGTCACCTCTAATGGGTTGGAGGCTATAGTACCAAGTTGGAGGCCAGCACAACAAGTTTACAGCAAGCACCTGTGCCGACCCCAACTCTGCAGACTGAATAGGAATGCGTCCAGTCGAACAGAGCGGACCCGCCGGCCGTAAGGGCAACCGGCATAGAAACTACTAGAAGGACACCAAAAATAGGAAGAGGCCATAGCAACAAGGTTCGAGGCCTGCGCTACAGGTTAGGAGGCCCACAAGACACAAAGCTGCAACACAAAAAGAAACCAAGCAAACAAAAACAAAACCAAGAATCCGGATTGTGACTCCAAGGGTTGCCCTGCAACAGCGTGGTACACTTCAAGATTTGTGCGTGTCATTCCTTCAACAAAAATCCAAAAGGATCCCTTTGACTCCAAGGGGTACACACACACACGCCTCCCCGAGGGGAGGCGAAGAACGAAGGTGAAGGCGAATGTGCACGTGCGCGCGCCGCACGGACAAAAGGATGAAGACATAAAAAGAGGACAGACAGGACAAAAAGTGTACGTGGTTGCAATGAAGAGGAACCAAGTGCACAGGGACAAACAATGAAACCCACCTCATTATCAAACCTGGGCGACCTGAAACCTAGGTTAAAAGTACGTGAAGATGTGCGCGTACACACCAAGGTCAGGACCGATGTGTGCGCAAAAGAAAGAAGGAGTGAAATGCCAAGACATGAAGACAGGAGGACATGAAAGAAAAGAGGAAAACAAATGTATGTAAAGGGGGAAAGATGAAAAGGGAACCAAATGGAGGGGACAAGAACCGATGAAGCCAGACCTCATTGAAAACCTGTTGCAACGCCTCTTTTGTGTGTGTGTGTGAAAGCAACGCGCGCGAGCGAGGGAGGGGTAGGGAGAGAGGAGAGGAAAGAAAGAAAAAAAGGAAAGGAAAGGAAAAGAAGGTGTTCCCAGCTACGACACAAGCGTCCAAGGACACACCAGGAGAAGAAGAGAAGGGTTCCCAGCTATGACGAAAGCATCCAGGGACACCCAAATAAGATGGAACGGGAAAAAGGGAAGCTACGAGCAAGCGTCCAGGGACCCACCAGGGAGAGGGGTGTACCTGAGTGTTACATTCAGGAATACCCCCAAAAAGGCAAGGAGAGAAGAAGGGAAGGGTAGGGGGAGGAAGGGGATTAAGGTCGCGACAGGTTCCAATGAACCTTAAAAAAGCTTTGGTCGCTCTGACCACGTTGAGGCGTTAAGCCAGCTTCCACCGCTGCGGTCACAGAAAGGCATGAGCCAGCTTGGACTTCATAAATGCGACAAAGTCTGAGTTCTCTTGGCCTAGGCCACCTACGCTTGCTGTGAGCAGCTTTGTATCCGGGCAGGGGATACGTTCGACAAACCCCCGTTCGACGGGTCCACAGGCCCACAGGGGCCACTCTTCGGGTCACCCTGGGCTCTCACTAGGAGAGACACACTTATGATGTTTGCGTACTGAACTGAAAGCGGTGCCACACGCCGGCCTAAGTAAAAAAACCTAAGGAGCCAGGGCAAGTAAAGTTAAATTAGAGGCCATCGCTAGAAGTTGGAGGCCATCGCCCAAGTTTGGAGGCTATCGCTAGTAGGTTAGACGCACAAACTGAAAGCGATGCAAAGCAACAAGGTTAGAGGTCATCGCTAATGGGTTGGAGGCCATAGTACCAAGTTGTATGCCAGCGCAACAGTTTACAGCAAGCTCTGCAGACTGAATAGGAATGCATCCAGTCGAACAGAGCGGACGCGCCGGCCTTAAGGGCAACGGGCATATAAGCTACTAGAAGGACACCAAAAATAGGGAGAGTCCATAGCAACAAGGTTGGAGGCCTGCGCTACAGGTTAGGAGGCCCACAAGACACAAAGCTGCAACACAAAAAGAAACCAAACAAACAAAAACAAAACCAAAAATCCGGATTGTGACTCCAAGGGTTGCCCTGCAACATCGTGGTACACTTCAAGATTTGTGCGTGTCATTCCTTCAACAAAATCCAAAAGGATCCCTTTGACTCCAAGGGATGCACACACACGCACCCAACACTGCCCCCTGTGCCACGGGCACGACAGGAGCAGATGCCAAGGTGGTTGCCAGCATGTTCCGACGTCACGGCGACAAAGGCCCAAATAATGAGGCCGAGACCCGAGACACCAAAAGCATTGGGGTGGAACAATGATAGTTGCCACTCCTTGTTGCTGAGCCCATGGGGCCAGGTGTGCTTGTATTTGTTCCAATTTTCAAGTCATTCTGACCCAGGTTGGCTGCTTGGTTTGGAGTCGCAAGCGAAGGCGCTAAACCAGACTCAAGAGGTGGATGTGTTTGGTGAATGCTGCCAGACTCAACCTGAATGACTTTGTTCTCCTCCTTTGGGTTGTTTGGCTTGCTTAAAAGGCATATGACATATGTATATACATATTGGTATACAGTGTATATATAAGATATATAATATATATAATATATGTAATATATATAATATATATAATATATACTATATATAATATATATAATATATACTATATATAATATATATATAATATATATATAAGATATATAATATATATATAGATATTTTTTTTTTTTTAAACGTTTTTTTTTTTTTTTTTTTTCGGAAGCGTCCGTTCGGACTCGATGATTTTGTTTGTTGTGGCCGCTTTTGCCGAGGTTGGGACAGATCGGAGGGCATTGGCCGAAATCGTAGCGAGGGATGCAGTGACCTTCTGTGCCTTTTGCATTGAAGTCTCACCTTGCCTTTGCTGTACTTTCGACAATGCCTTTTGCCAACACGAAGACGTATTTGATGAATTTGTGTCAAGGCCTATAGAGTATTGAGTCCTGAAAGAAGCTCAAGTTGTCAACATTTTTCGGCAGTCCGTGCCTGTACAGCAAGGGACAGCATATGACAGCGTATATTTTTACAATAAAGACAATTCCGTAGTGATGACTATCGTAGCCGTTCGGGCAGAACTTGATGCGAGAAGAGCCACAAAGCAAAAGACCGCGGGTGTGTCACAGAGCTTACCAGTTCAAAAAGTGTTGTTTTGAGCACTCGACTCTTCATCAGCTCAACAGTACCTTTCCGCGCAGCCTAGGCCGCTTGGTGCGAGCTTTGCAGCAGCCCAAGGCAGTACTCTTGGAAGGCAGAGACTGATGGGTTTACCATTGCTGCATGGTCTTGACAGCAAACGCACATGGGATTTCTTGTGTCAGAAGTCTTTCCAAATGCCTGATTTTGGTGGGCTATGGTGTTGTGCAGGAACTTTTTGAGTGCTTTCTATTTGGGTTTGAGAAGGGAAGGGTAGCTTCCTGCATGGAAACGTGCGTGACTATGCAGAATCTTGGGCATTTGGCGGCCGTCGATCTGGGACACCCGATCTCCAGGTCCACCTGGCCTTGGGAAGACAGCAACGGTGCAAGCTCTGGCCAAAGCGACTGGAAGACGTTTGTGCTGACCTCATCCTTTGTTTGGAGAAGATCTATTTTGATTGTAAGAAGTCATAATTTCAGGCAGTTTGCAGTTTTGTAATCTTTGATGTACTCATTTTGTCGTTTCAACTGTTCTTTGAACCCAGGCTACGTGTGAATCTCTCGGAGCAAACCGATTTGTCACAGCCTCTGTCGGGTCTTTCAACTCGAGAGATTTGATCAAGTAGCTCGACGGTTGACGAACTCACTTCTGCGTCCACACCCTCTGGCGAAAGGGAAAAACATGAGTCGACAGCTCGGGGGAACTGTCACCCCCCCAAGATGCCTCTGCCGGTATATTTTTGCATCAGCAAACGAGCCGAACATGGCCAGTCTTATTTCCTCAGATGTGATGTAAATAAGCAGGCGCTGTAGGCGCACACTGCCCTTTCTACTTTGAAACTCTCTCAGTCTCCTTTGCTCACAAATCTTTGCCACAAAACGACACACCCGTGATCTCTCCCTCTTGCTTCAACTGCTGACAGGCTGGACCTATTAGGTTCCGACTTGCCCACGCCTGGCAGCGAGGCTTGCCATGTGAAAGCATGCTCAACAAGGAACACCTGAGTTTCTTTTCGTCCCGAAGGAAGATCATTGCACCACTTGGAACTGGAACCATCCAAAACACCGGTGGTGCAGGATATCTTCCTTCAAACCGTCTTCTTCCTTCAATGCATCAAAGCATCGGATGAGGCCGCTCGATTTCGCTGGTGCGATGGAGCTTTGCTGCGAGCCATGCGACAGGGCGCGCGGTGACCCAGTTGCTGAGCAATTGACAAGGTGTTTCTATGGGATTTCTTTCGTGGATTGGTTGAGCCGGAGTTGGAAGTTCCATGTCGCCGGGCTCCCACAGCTGCTGCGCTAAGGACTGGGTTCTTTTGGATGAGATTAATTTGGCTCCGCAGGACTGGTGTCTTCCCAAACAAGTTGGCACACTCAGTTCCCATCCAAGTCGAGACACAGGCCACTCTGGAGGGCTTGAATGCGTTGCTGGACCATCGGCGAGAGGCCATGGAGTGTTGTTGATGTCAATTGAATCTTTCCCTTACAATCATGATGACCATCTCACAGCCACACACTGGTGTGTGTAGACTTATTTTTTTTGCATTGTTTTATCATTTGCGTTTTTATATTGCTCTGATGTTATCATATTGATAATCATTTTTTTTTTCAATCACTGTTTATAAGTTTATATACATGTTTCTTTTTTAAACAAAACTTTCATACCACCATACTGCTTTAGTGACTCTGGTGCGATTACCACGGGAAAATTACATTAGGCTACAAAAAAGACAGAACTGGTGGTTTTCCATTGGAGGACTCACTCATACCAGTTGCTGTGTGCATGCCTTGCATTTCCTTTTGTCAGGTGTTCCTTCCAGCTATTGGACAGACAGTTGCGGCGCATGAAGGCTTCAGGCTGGAAGACGTTGTGTTTGCTGAGGGCTTTCCTCCTAGGGCTTTCCTCGTGTGCAGGCTTTTTGCAGCACAGAATCCTGTTGCCACTGGAGGCCATGACTTGCGTCTGTAGATGACGGCGCTTCCGACGGCACGGCTCGGACGGCTCGGCTCGTTGGGCCAGGTGGCCGCAAGGGGCTTCCCAGGTCGTTTCTCAATCGCTTCACTCGGGTGGTGCTATCTCAATTGCCGTGCTCCCAGAGGGTCTTGGTCAGGTGATCTATTTGTGCATACCAACTGTGGTTCTTGGAGAATCTGCGAATCCCTGAGAGTAGGGCCTGTGATCCCTTTATCTTTTCCAACCCTGACCGTACTGATGAAGACTTCACAAGAAATGTTACGCAGCCACAGGTCACCTGCAGACTTGCGGCACATCTGCCCGTGCCTTAGAACAAGACTGGGCAGGAGGCCCAGTCCGCAACGAGGAGCGCCGCGTCATGAGGAACTGCCTTCCGCTCTGAGGCCGACATGTTCATGCTGCAGCACTGGGAGAAGAAGTGGTTGATCGGGCAGCGCCTGCTGCATGTTTGAGTGAGTTGAGTTGAGTTGTTCTCTATCGTGGTTTGGTGGCTGCAAGAGATTGAGTGGATGCCAGGTGGCTTTGTTGGAAGAGCTGCAAAAAGTCTCCCATGGACATGGTGACACAGGTGGGGGCGAAGTTGTAGCACTCAGCCGCGGTCTCCAATGCCTTGGGAGGCCCATTCCAAGCTCACTTGGAGTTTGTAGGGGTCTTAGTTAGAAATCACTTTGTTTTTTTTCCCATGCTTGGGCAGTTTCCCAGCTTTGAGGACTGGAACCTTCGAGATGCCTTGCGGCTGTGCGAGCTCCTTCGCGTAGAGCTCTCAGAACGGCTGCGGAGGTCTTGACAGATCATGGGATGCAGGGCTGTGACTTGTGACGCTGATGATCTATTTTTCGTTTGGCAACCCATTTAATGATTAGAGCAAACTATCACCACAGCTCATCTCTCCTTTGTCAACAAGTCCACCATCTGACTTGCAGTTCCCTCATGTACCACAGAAGGGGTAAACACGTCGTCATGAACCTTTCCTGTAGCCAGAGTATTTGGATGTATTTGGGGCGTTTTTTAGGTTGGAGGCCATCGCTACTAGGTTGGAGGCCATCACCATTATATAGGTTGAGTTTACCGTTTTTTTTTCCATGTAAAGCACTGGCCCTTTCAATTCCATTGTTTGCGTTTGGCTCGGGACCTCCGCAGCTCAGGCGAAGGTCCCATTGGCGGACTTTCACGCATCGGCGGAACTGCTCTTTGTGGGGTTTCCCGGGTGTGAGTCGAATGTGGGTGGAGTGGGTCAAAACCTGCAGAGGTTTGCTGGGTGTGATGGAACTCCCTTTAAGCTTGCTTTCAACGCCAGGCGATTTTTACTCATCAATCAAATACCGATCCTCCTTGGATGTTCCCCAGTTTTTGGTCAGCTGTGTGCAGATTTCAGCTCAGACATATTGAGGTGTCTCGACTACAATGTGAGCGCGACCGAGCAGTTGCAGTAGAGGTCATTAAGAGGACTTTGCAACCGTGTTTGTATGTCTTGACACGTTCCAAAGAGACGCAAAGAACATGTCCTATGAATCAGTCTACGGCTTTCTGCGTACTTTCATGTTACCTTGTGTGAGTTTGGATGCAGACTTACTGGCTTGGCAGGATCTTGCCCCTGCCACAGTGTGCTGAGGCTAGAGCGGCACTGGAGATCATTCTCGTCTTCACGTGACAGCATGGCAAATAGACATGCAAACCTGGAACGGTTTAGGTAGCTGGCTGAGCCGGATTTCCAGAGTCTCATCTATCTCTCCCTGGAGCGTTTCGCATCCAATGCGGTCTACTGAGTCTCCCCTTCCCACGTGCTCCGCCAGTCCATGGATGTGAAGCGGGCAGCGGCCCTGCTGAGAGTCAGCTGCGGACTTCAGGCCGAGCTGCGGCGTCGTTGGGCGCCGTTGGGCCGCGAGCCGTGGTCCGCGTTTGGCGTGAAACCTGAGATCTCCAGAGTTGTCGACCTGATTTGGATGTCACGTGATGTCACCGAAACATAGAGCTTTGGCTCTTGCCTTTCTCTACTGAACTCTGCTCAGGCATCGTCTCCAGTAGCAGCTTCCAAAGAGGATTGTACGTCTCTGAGAGAAATGGTGCTTTGCTGTGCCGATGCAGGGTGAGTTTTGCGAGCTCTGAGGTGGTCTCCCAAGACCAATGCTGTGTTTGAAGCTCAGTTTGTAGTGCAAACTGAACATGTTGAGTCAGTTTCCAGTCTGAGACGATTTGGTGGAGAGCTCCAAATGAGGTTTGGGTGCCCACAGCTTGCAAGCGCGGCTGAATGGCATTCAGGTGTCGACAACTTGCTGGAGTAGGAGCTGAGTAGGACGTGCACGAAAGTAGGATCTCGTGATCTGGAAGCTTCAGGTGTGGGACCCCCTCTATTGGATAGTGGAACCAGAAGTTTGGAATTCCAGCTTCAGGCTGAAACTCGAACTTTTTGAGCCATATAGCCATGATGAACCAAACTGTTGGAGCAAATGTTGGGATGGAAACATCCACTTGGGTGCGTAGGTGAACCAGGGAGACCCAGTGTTGGCAAACACAGCATTCGACTCAAACTGAAAGCCAGCGGGCGAGGGGGTAGCGTTTGTGCATGGTCTCATGGCTGGTTTGCCAGGTGGGTGCTGCCTTGCTGCAGCAGCTTCAACCAGGCGACCCACGCAGCGGGGAGGCTGAGGAAATTGGGCGGAAACCGAGAAGGATGGAAACCAGATCAGATGCTGCAGATGTGAGGGACAATGCATGCAAACGTGTAGAATCTTTACGCAAGCCAGCCGGTAGGCTAGCTGTTGTGTCTGGTGCGAATTAAGTAAGCACTAGCGCTGAGGGAGGGGAAACAGCCTAAAGCTTCGATTTTTAGGGCACTTCCTTGGGTTCGGTGATTGATGATGTTGAACATGCCATTTTGGAAGAGCTTGTGATGCTGAAGATATTGCGTGGCATAGTAAGCATCATAAAGGTGGAGGGTTGGTCGCATTGTTAAGGTCAGTGGGGAGGTTCCGTGAGGATGGTTGCTTGGCTCTGTGGCAGAGGTAGGTTGCAGGTGCGATCTACTTCTTTAAGCAAAAGGCGTTTGCTCAACAGGCCTACAGAACACGTGGATTCTGACCATTCATAATATCTTCTCGTCGATCCCAGCAAATTCAAATCAATCCTTAGTTGTGTTTTAAAGCATTTGCTATTGGTATTCAAACCAATCTAGACACTTGCAAGGAAACATGCCTCTCAGAAGAACATTGTTCCACTGCATGTGTTTCAATGCTTTGGATGCAACGTGCAGCCAAGAACGACACTGTCACGGAATTCCGAGACAAAGTAAGTCTCGGAGAGCGATGTTTTGCCGATGTGTCAACCCGGTTTGGCAAGCTGATGATTTTCGAGAGCCAGTGCACCTCGCACTTTTCTGCTACAGGCGAATCGTCCACCAACCTGAATCTAATGCTTCGGACATGCTCTGGATCATCCGGATTCTTTCACACGCACACTCGTTGTCAGCTTTTTCCGATGTTTTGGATTGCAACAGGAACAGGCTGCAGACAGGCTCCCCTGGCATTCATTCCTCCCTTTTCAGGTGTAGTAATTAGGTGTGTTTCTACTTTGAAACATGTGCATTCACCTGTTTGAAGCGTGTGCTATGTGGCAACTTAGAGTGCATTCCCTAGGTTGGAGCGGCCTTGAGCACATTCGACACTCTCCTCACTTAGCTGCGCTCGCTAGCAAGGAGCCTAGTCACTAGGAGAGAACCGCAGGCAATCAAAACCACAGAGGACCGGAGAAACCAAATTGAGGCCAGGCCTCTGTGGTGCACGCGATGTCCCACGCAGTTTCAGAGAACTTGAAATGGCAGGGTGCCCAACGTTGCAAAGTTTATGCAATTTATGCACATGAATCTCAAGGAGCAAATTACAAGACGGCTTCAATCGCTATTAGTAACAAGGGCATCGCAACTAGTAGCTAGAAGCTACTAGTAGCGATGAGTACCCTTTTACTAGTAGCTTCTAGCTACTAGTAGCCATTCCGGCCATTGGGCCAACAAAGCGCCTTTGGCTCAAACAGGCACACGACATACTATTGCCAGCGTGCAAAGCAACTTGCACTAGGGTCGCTGGCAGCATTGAACTTTCGGCCATCCCATCGAGCGAAGTGCTCAGCTTCAACTAGACTTTAAGTTACTTTAAGAAAAAGACTTCAAAGGCACCTAAGGGCGATGGCCTGCAACCAAATAGTGATGGCCTCCAACAATCAATTTGAGCATCCATGCAAATTGGTGTTGATCGGTTAATTGCAATGAGCGATGATGATTGCGATGGAAGCAAACGGGCAAAACGGCCTCGCACGCAGGTGCCGCGGGAGAGACATGAAACCAAGTTAACGTGTGTGTCATTTCAACGAAGGAACTGCCCTTTGCTCTTCACGAGGCCTGTGATACTTGGGGCAACATTGGAGCGTTACTGGAAGGCTTCTGCTTGCATTTAGATATACATAAATATGTATATATATATATGTTATCGGTGCTATATGTGATTTTCTGACTTCAGAATATTGGGAGCCTGGGGATCGTGAGATCTCTACTGGTTACATCGGCATTCAACTAAAGTTGGTAGTGTTGCCTGGAAAAGAAGGATAGGGCTCCTGTATTTGCCAAAGGGCAACAAGAATTCTCGCTTGTGTGGAGGCCCCCAGCCATTTCCATTACCAAAGTGATTTGAGCTGCCGAGGAACATCAGTGGTAAAACTTTTTTGCCGGGAGTTAAAGCCGTCTCTTGGTGATAATTTGTATGTTCATTCCTTTGACACAGTTTCCTCAATCATTGTTCCTTCTTCAAGAGATCTTCGGAGCATATGCTCAAGCACTCAGGAATTATTCGATGCCATGGACAACAAAGAGGCAGGGGCAAAAAACGACGAGTCCAGGTTCCCACACGGGAAACCTCCAGACCTTTCGTCCTATCGAAGCTTCGCTGAAGAGTATTCCGTAACTCCCACCCAAAGGACACCCCTCACTTGTGGGTTTTCGTTTCTGATTCTTTTTGCTTTGATTCCATCCTCTAATTCAATGGTCCACTGGCCCTTCCACTCATCTACACTCGTCCACGCTTATCTGTGCTCCTGCCTGCTGCGCTCCGCTCCGCTCGTCCAGAGGCAGCAGTCCTCAACTTCCAGTGCCTTTGTGCTCAGCCTGGAGGAGCGCTTGCTTCTCACGAATCGTCACTGCGTGGCCCATGCCAGCTGCATCGACACCCATTCTTGAAGCGAAAAGATGTGGGCGAGTCCACAGCAACACCATCAGTTGATGTGGGTGGATCAACAGATGGAATAAAAGAAACACTATATAGTACTCGTACCCCTCCAGACTATCGAAGAACCTGAAGCACTGGTGTTGCCGAGAACAATTGTCCAGACTTATATGTTTTGAGGTGTTTATTTTTGAGGTTGTTTTATGTTAGTCTTTTTCCTGGCAGAGCTCCTGGCTTAGGAAGTT